TTATTCCTATTTGTTTAACAAGGGGAGCTCTTTTCCGATTGTTCAGTATATCTTTCAAGACGTTGTTTTCAGCCAATCGTCGTTGTGAGTCGAACTACCATGACTGCTTGACTGACAGGTCCAAGTTTTGCTTGGTTGCTTAGTAACAGTTGGCAAGATATTTTTCTCGACTGCAAACACCATTAACGCTAACATCATTAATGTTAACGCCGTTAGCGCTATCTCCGTTTGATTACTTTTTTTCAAACGTCACTGATATCGCAATCATATGGACTGATAGTTCAAGCACAGTGAATTATTTCCACTGTTAGTCATCAGTCATCATGAATAAGCATTTTGTTTTCCAACGAATTCAACCTGTCGCTAGTGAAATTACAATCATGTATAGAAACTTTTTTTTATATTGATTATCACATTACTGTTTACAAAAAGTTTGAATTGACTGACAACTTGAATATCAGTGTACTTAAATGAAGAAAGAAATATAAAAAATTATTGCATTCATACGGCAGGTTTGAGTGATAAATATCGTTTCGTTTTTGTTTAACCGCTTCGTCATCCAATCGTCGTTGAGAGTCGAACTACCACGACTGCTTAGCTGACAGGTCCAAGTTTTGCTCGGTTGCTTAGTAAGAGTTGGCAAGATATTTTTCTCGACGGCAAACACCATTAACGCTAACGTCATTAATGCTAGCGCATTAGCGCTCTCTCATTTTTTCAAACGTTACCCTGATATCGCAATATGGACTGATAGTTCAAGCACACTGTGAATTATTTCCGCTGTCGGTCATCCGCCATCATGAATAAGCATTTTGTTTTCCAACGAATTCAACCTGTCGCTAGTGAAATTACAATCATCTATAGAATTGTTTACAGAAAGTTCGAATTGACGACTTGAATATTAGTGTACTTAAATGAAGAAAGAAATATTTAAAAAAAATATTGCATTCTTACGGCAGGTTTGTTTGATAAATGTTGTTTCGTTTTTGTTTAACCGTTTCGTCTGCGAACTTAAAATTGAATTTCCCTTACTGATTGCCAAACTTTCGTTTTAGCGCCTAGCTGACGGTTTTCTTAATTCTCCTAACCTGTCTGCTTGGTAATGTGTGGATTTTGTATGGAGAAATTTGATGTCTGTCCCTCTAGGGAATTTGATGTTAAAGGACGTACATCGGAAGGGCACATCTTGAAAAAACAAAAACAGCCAATTGTTTCCCCGTTTGTCCTAAACATCCCAGCTTGTTTATTTTTATTTTATTTTTGCTTCTATTATTGTCGGGGGTCTCCCTTAATTTGTGTCGTCGTCGCTGCTATTTTCAGCCAGTTAGTCCAACATGAAGTTGGATAGAAATTTCTGGTCATTTTGCGGTGGGTTTGTTTTTATTATTTCGCTTTGTTTTTGGTTTTTCTTTATTTCTTTATTCTTTTCTTGGATTTTGGTGGTTTGCGTGCTGTGGTTAACTCTCCAGAGGTCAGCTGAGTACACAATATCTTGCGACCACCTTTCGCATTCGCTTTAATTTCCTGAACGCATTGAATTTGAAGTGGCAAACCGTGACAGGTTAAAAGCGGTTAAATTTTTTGTTTATAATATGCTATATATATATATATCTCTCTCGTGAACAATCTTATTGACTTCCTCAGTTACATAAGCATAATTGAACTGAATTTACTTTAGTTGACAACTTCTTGAGAAGTGTCAAAAGTTTGAAATTATGTACTTATAGGCTGAATTTTTGCCAAGGGTTTTTGGAGCAACCAAAAGATTTTGAACTTTCACCATAACTTCGCACCCAAAATGTTGCATTATATCATAGTTTACCATGTAACCATGGTAGTAAAATCTGGTGACATGCTCGTCTGTGTTTCAACTATTGATAACCGCCCATCAAGCCTGTTTATTTATAATGGCACTTGAAACATAATTGGCATTTGTGGCCTGCTAGTTTATAATATAGCATCTGGATCCGACACGCAAAGTAAACATGCATTGTAAAGCCGCCGTGAAGTGAGTGCGTCCGAGGTGTAGAACAAATTTGTTTCGAGGTTTATAAAGCAGAACTTGGCGAATGGAAAGCCTTTCAACACCAGAATATACAATGGGAGAAAACAAAGTCCCTCAGTCGGAGCCAGTACCAGATTGGAAAGTAGCGAGAAAGCTCTGGGGAGCCGCATGGGAGTTACACTGGATCGGTTTTGGTCTTGCATTCAGTGCGTTAGTAGTATCGTCCTCTGTTGCGTTGGTGCAAGCAAAGAGGAGGAAAATGTTTGGCCGAAAGCCTTATGTGATCGCTATTAACTCTTTGCTCTTGATTTTGGGCATTACGCGAGCGTTATATCTATTGATTGATCCCTACGAGTCCAAACAGAACGGAATTAAAATGCCAAAGTGGTTTGCACAGTTCCTGTTTAACATCGCTTTTCCGTGCTTGACCTCCTCGTTTGGTTTGATCTTTTTAGTTTTCCTTCGGGTCGCTAAACTTCAATTAGTGTCGGAGAGACTCAGCAATGCACGTTACCTCATTGCTGTGATATCATTTCACTTCGCCATCGTCGTAATCGCAGATATCGCCGCAGCAGTTGATTACTCAAATGTCCATATTTTGTTCATCATATGCCAGTTGTTTTTCATCATCTGGGGCTTGCTACTATCGGCGACCTTCATCTACAGTGGACTCAAAGTTATCTACCGAGCGAAGAACGTTCAAAAACAACTCGAAACGCAAAGCGCAGCAAATACGTCTAAGGTTGCAAAGGTCACTATTGGGACAAGTTGTTTGGGACTCGGTATCAGTGCGTTACAGCTGTATTCGTTGGTGGATGTATATCGATTTTACAGCGACTTTACAGACCCGCCCCCGTGGTCCTGGTGGAGTTTTCAAACTTGTTCTCGCCTGTTAGAAGTCGCCATGGCTTGCACGATTGCTTACAGTGTCATGAAACCGTCTGCCCCTAAACGAAAACTCACGGTAAAGAAGAGTATTCTACGGTACGAGAAAACAGCGATTGAGGGCATTGTATGAGGAAGTAAGAACTGAAGATTCCTTATGCGCCACTTGGTGCAAAGTGGAAAGACAAGTGCATATCTAAAAGTGTTTTTACGGAGAGTAGTTCCCACGGTTCAGTGAGGAAGTCGTGCTTATTTAAATTCATTAAACCGCCAACTGATAGTGGCTTCACAGTGTTCAGTCCGGCTTAGATCGTGTCACAGTCGAACCTTGTCACAGCTGAAATTGCCAGAAGTAATCTTTCTTACCCGTTTTCTTAAAATCATAGGCATCGTTGCTGCTCTTTGGTTCATTTATTCCTCTTTGATGTTTTTCTAGTTCAGTTAACTTAAAGTTTTTAGAGTTTTCTTTGATTCGAAGCCGGTGTTTGTGTACAGGGCTATCACTGTCCATGGTGACTCAGCTTCGGAAGCGACACAATCTGACGGGCCCTTCGCCGAAAATCAATAATTCGTAACCGTTCTAAACAGAAGCGCAAAGCGCATAGCAGCATGTCAACCATAAAAAATGCATCTTGTAAGTTGAAGAAGATTTGACTAGGTGTTTGAACATTCCTAATTTTATTATGCTTCGATTTTACGCAGGTGAATGCCAAGGTCGTGTATTGTATAATTTCCAGTATGTTCTTTTGACGGTAAAGCTTAATTACGGCCGCGCGCCGCGAGAAGAATATATTTAATATCTGTATAGCCCCGGAAATGATTCAGCTCGCTTCGACGAAAATAATCGGCCCCCAGGCAGGTTTTCGCGCACGCCTCTCCGCGATTCGATGCACGTGCACAAAGATGACTGTCAAAATCTACGAATAATTGTTCTTCTTCTTGGATTTGAGTTGCATTACAGGCTCTACGTGTAAGGCTCATACCTCCAAGAAATTTGACGTTTCGCGGAGGAAATGAATGTCATAAGAACAAAATAAATATGGTTACACGGGTCAATCGCGTTACGTAACACAAGAGATGACAAGATCGACGAGGTGTGCGTAGACACGAGGTTTTTTCCATATCACGGAGATGTCTGAATTATAGAGGCAGAAATTATATGAATTCTGGTTTCTCTGGGATTAAGCGAACTGTCCGTAATATAGAGGTGTTCCTGTTATGTAAGTGTCCATAAGGAAAAGCTCGAATGTATTTAAATCTCAGGTCTCAGAAGAGAACAACGGACATTTTCTGGGAAAGCGCACTTAAAACCATGGTGCAGCCTTACTAGTAACTAAGAGGTATTTCTAAGCTAGTAAACGTGCGGCTCTTTAGTTAATATTTCTATAAAACAGTTAGAGACTCGATTGGCCTTGGTTGTAATATAATTGAGATTGTGGCTCATTACATGATGTACAATAAAATAAGGCAATTATGTCAGCTTATGTCTGCCACTGTCTAAGTCAAGCCAAAACGATCAGAGAAAAATAAGATAGAA